TACATATGTTTCACTTTATACTATAGGATTTAGAAACTATATAACTTTAGAATGAATACATTCAGGTATAAGGTTAAGCATATATATATATATATAATTATGTAATAATAAATATTAGGTTAATATAGAAAATATATTACTATTTTAAAATAAATATATTGGAATAGTGGTGTTATGCTGTTCCAAAAAGGAGCAGATCCAATGATTGAAATCAATTGACTATTTTTATAGTTTGTACAAATACAGCCATCAGGAAATCTGAAAATCAGTTCTGATCTCTCAATATGACTTTGGAAAAAAAAACAGTAATTTTCTTCACAGCTAGAAAGGGGCATTTCTTTAAAGTCTGAAGATTCAAAATGATATAATCCATTTGGAACGGACAAAGCAGTATGGTATTCAAATGAGCAGAAAGTGTAAGTTACACAAGAACAAGAGAAGCAGTTCAGAAAATGAAATTTTCCAGTTGCCTTAAAATTGACTCATTCTTTATTTGCTATAAAAAATAAATAACTATTAAACAAAAATGATCAAAGAACAGAGATTATTTGGTGATCTTGAAAGAATTCAAATGTCATTACAACTGAAGGCTCCTACAAAGACAAAGAATGAGAAAAGTAAATGCAGCAATAAAACTTAACATCTGAATACTACATGACTATAGGAGGGGATGTGGCACGATCTGTGGCACATGTGACAGTCGGAGGACAACTTTGTGGAGCAGGTTCTATTCTTCCACCTTTTAAAAAAATTTTATGTATTATATATGTAAATATTATTTAAATTACCTATTATATATTAAAATATTTTATTATTATAAATAAAATATTAAATATTTTATTTATTTATGTATGTGTGTATTGCCTGCATGTAGGTAAGTGCAGCCATGTAATGCAACGCCTGTGGAGGACAGAAGAGGCCGTCAGATCCCTGGAAATTGAGTTACAGACAGTTGTTAGCTGCTATGTGGGTGCTGGGATTCGAACCCCGGTCTTCTGCAAGAGCAACCAGTGTTCTTAACCACTGAGCCATCTCTCCAGCCCCTTCTTCCACCTTTTACATCTGTTCCAGGGATCAAATGCAAGCACGCCTGATGGCTTGCATATGATCCCTGGAACACATGTAGTAAAATGCAGTATCTTGAATATAGACATACAAATGTATACAATTGTCAAATATCAGATCTTTATTTTTTAAAATGCATTTGAATTTTTTAAAAGTCTGTCATTATAACTACCTAGAAATGCCAGCTTTAATATAATAGCAAGTCAGCTAAATTTAAAAGAGAGAGAGAGAGAGAGAGAGAGAGAGAGAGAGAGAGAGAGAGAAGGAAGGAAGGAAGGAAGGAAGAAGGAAGGAAAGAGAGAGAGAGGAAAAAAAAGAAAGAGGTGCTGGAGAGATGGCTCAGCAGTTAAGAGCATTTGTTGCTCTCCTGCAGAGGACCCAAATTCCATGCCCAGCATCCACAGTAAGCAACTCATAACTGCTTATAACTTCAGTTCCAAGAGCTTCAATACCTTCTTCTGGCCTCTGTGAGCATCTACACTCACATGTGCTCATATACACACAGAGACACATGCACACACATACGTTAAAATAAAATTAAATGTTTAAAAAAGAAAAATCACCAAAGGCCTAAATTTTAAAAGAAATTAGGCGTGGTAGTGCATATCTTCAATCCCACCACTCATTAGAAGTAGGAGGCTGGAGTGGAGGAGGATCAACAGGAGTAGGGAAGAGAAATTATAAGTAACAGAAATGAAACTGGAAAATTCACAGATTTGTGGAAATTTATAAAAAGACTGTATTCTTGGAAAATGGAGAGATATCTCAGTGGTTAGGGACACTGGCCTCTCTTGCAGAGGACAGGGGTCAGTTTCTAGCACGGACATGGTGGCTAATGACCAACCATAAGGACAGTTCCAGGAAATCCAACACCCTCTTTTGGTCTCTAGACACTACATACGTGTGATATACTTACATACATGCAGTTAAAACACTCATGCAAATAAAAATAATTTTAAAAATATTTTTAAATTTTATTATTTTTATTTTATGTGTATGCATGTATTGACTGCATGTAGGTAAGTGCATCTGTGTCATGCAATGCCTGCAGA